GTTGCCTTTCATTACACATTTATTAAAAAAAAGTCTAGTAACAACTATTCTCAGCGACTATATTGCATAATACATGCAACTAGATATATAAAAGTCTCAAAGAACATATGGAAAATAGTGGCAAATGAGAGTTCAATAATTTAGAATTTTTTTTTAGTATAGTTTTCACGATCCAGTTATCATTTGAAAACCCAAAATAATTTTGAGAAGTGCCAAAATGAATGTAGGGATGCAAGTCTCTGAAAAACAGGGAATAAGCTGAAGTCAAATCATATCAAAAATTAATTAGATTTTTCAGTTTTTTCTTACATGGGAAGTAAATATATTATTTATTGCCATCTGCAACTTTCCATTCTTGCTTTATTTATAGGATTGACCATCACAGTTGTTTCCCTTTTCTTCTGGTAACTGTCTGTTCAGTTGACAGCAACATACAATTTTTTTATTCATTATCACACTTAAAAATGTGGAAAAAGCATATATAAAATTTTACTCAAAAGAATTTGGAAAGATCATGATAGTATAGTTATGTAACTATTTAGACTCGTAGGTTCTAAACTGGGTGTGGTGGTGCATTCTTGTAATCCCAGTACTTGGGAGGTTGAGGGAGGTGGATCCTTTCATGTTCCAGCCTAGGTTACAAAGTGAGCCCAAGGCCAGCCTGAACCAAATAGCAAGCATAACTTATTTATTACAATTAAATTCTTATGGGGTCATTTAAAAATAATATCATTAATCATAGCTAATGCTGATGTTTGATATATTACAAATGTGTTACAGTGGAAGTGATTTCGGCCAGAAAAAACTATGGCAGAAGTACAATAGGTGTTAGATAAAATCACATCTAGAATCAGTGTATACCTTGAAATGTTAACATAAAATAATATCTATCTTTCAAAGTAGTATAGGAAGTATAAATAAAACAAAATTGGTTATGAGTTATTAATTATTAATGCCAAACTGAGGTACATGAGGGTCTATTATTAACTTTATATGGAAAAAATAAAGGATACAAAACATTAAAACAAAATATGATACAACAAAGCCTATCTACCTTTCTTTCCTTTAGATCAATCAGGATGAGACCTTTGATCACTGGCAAGAAGAATCAATGCCCTTCCTTAAGCCTGAAGCAGTTATAAGAAGATGGACCCTCAGCCCATCTATACCCCGTAAGAATAAGAAATCAATTTCTGGTGTGTGGGAATGAAGTAGAATAGGTTTAAAAAGAAAGAAAGAAAGAAAGAAAGAAAGAAAGAAAGAAAGAAAGAAAGAAAGAAAGAAAGGAAGGTAGAAAGGAGATAAGGAAAATCCTAAGTAAAAAAAACTACTTTTAAGAACACTATAACCATAAGATAGAATTTTAAAAAGCATGTATAGGATGTCAACAGGTATTTGTATGGGTATGTATATATACGATCTAAATTTAATGTTAAATGTAAATTTATACAATGGTATTTAAAATGTTTCCCCTTTACAATTTTTTTCTCTTGCTTGTTTTCTTTTAAAATAGTGTTTATTTTTCAGAGCAGTTTTAGATTTATAGTAAGATTGATGGAAGTATAGATTTCCCATCCTCCTCATCCTGTCAAACTGAACCCCAAATACAGATATAATTTATACGAAAGGATTCTATGGTCAAATATGTTTGATTTGTTAAGATCTTGGTACACTATAGAGGCAGGAGACTAGGGTATAACCAGCTGTCTGGGAAAGTGGGAAATGGGTCAGTCACAGAGATCTAGGAAATATGCAGCATAGCCATGAACCTGAGACCAATCATAAAGTTTATTTCTAATTCTTCTCAAACAGGTTTTTGATAGGACAACCTAGATTTGATATCAGTCTGAGGAATGGGAGACATAAAAGAAGGCTATCATTATCCCCATGCCCCTGTGTTCTCTTTCATAGAGGTTTGCTTTTACTCTGTAGAGTGCATTTTTTCTTTTAATTGTCCCACACTCATTCTGCAGAGCATGTTTCTTTTCCTATCTTTAGTAAAATGGAAAACACTACACCTTTTGCAGTTGTCTTGACCAATTCTTTGTTCAGGACAGAAAGAACCTAAAAATTATCTTTTGAAAGAGCCCTCAGTATACCAGAACCTGGTAGCACTATTATACTTTGGACCCTTAAGTTACAACCATTATCACATATGAACACCTCAGTTTACAACTACAATTTTAGGTTTAACGGATAACCAACATCTTGAGTTACAAACCATCTGAACTCAGATGTGTGTCTGTGGACAGGAATTCAGACAGTACTTCATATAATTACTAGAATTACTGCTATCAAAATGGCCCCCCAAGAGCTAGAAAAGAAGCTTAGGAAGGTAAAGAAAGCAATTACAATTGAGAAGAAGGAAATTAGAGATATGAGAGTGAACAATCTCACTAATATGTACTGCATGTTGAAATCTACAACCACAGCACTCTTACAGAGTAAAGATTTGTATAATGAAGCTAGGTTTGCTAAAGCTGTTACTCAAATTAGTAAGTCATGATTAACAGTGTTACATGAGGTAGAAAGGCTATTATTAGTGTGGATAAATGAAAGGCAGATGGCAGATTCTAGTATACTTGTGAAAAAGCTAGGGCTATAGATGCAGATCTTTTAAAGGATAACTCATCAACAAGTGATAATGGTGAAACATTTCATGCCAGTTAAGGGTGGTTTGACAATTTTAAAGTGAGAACTTGTGTTCATAGCATAGCTAGGCATGGTAAAGCAGTCGGTGCTGATAAAAAGGCTGCTGAAGATTACATACACCATGTTGAAATGATGACACAGAAAAATGGCTTTTGCTTTCACTAAATCTTCAACTGTGATGAAACTGGTCTCTTCTGGAAGAAAATGCCCAGTAGAACACATATTATCCAGGAAGAAAAGAAAATGCCAGGCTAGCATGCCTGTGAAGGATAGGCTGTTTACTGCTATGTGCCAATGTGAGTGGTCACCTCAAGATAAAGCCTCTTTGGTTTATCACTCTGAGACTGCCAGAGTATTCAGAAAACATAAAGTCATGAAGAATAGGTTAGTGGTCATGTAGCGATCTAACACAAAAGCCTGGGAAACAAGAGTACTTACTCATGAGTGGATCAGGGAGGCTTTCTGCTCTATTATTAAGAAACAGTACCTAAAGGGCAAATGTTTTACCACTCAAGGCTTTCCTCATCATGGACAGTGCTCCTGCTCACCCAAAGATTTGGAAGAGAAATTGGCTGACAAATCACCATGGCTCTCAGCCAACTTCCTCCCACCTAATACAACTCCTCTACTGTAGCCTATGGACCAGCAGGTTATAGCTAACTTTAACCTGTACACCAAGGAACTGTTCCTGAAGTGTTTCCAGATGGTCTTAGATACAGATTTAACCCTTAAAGAGTTCTGGAAAGAACACTGTAACATCCTTTCGTTTGTGGAGGTGAGAAATCCTGGGCCAATGTTTCTCTAAGGACACCAAGATCTGCCTGGAAGAAATCATAACCTAAAATTGAACAGGAAAGTGACACTGAAGACTCTGTAGAGGAGTCTGAGCTTTTAATTGATCCTGTGGTTGATGACACTATCACTATAGCAGATAGACAGTGGTGATGGTGAGGGACTGGTAGAGGAACACTCAGGGGAACTGTCTACAGAGGAACTCGCAACTTCTGGCTGAGCAACAGAGAATGGCAGCTGAGAAGCTTTCTGAAGAGGAGGAGGAGTATAAATGATCAGTGCAGAAAAGTTCTTCAGAAATAAAGGAAATTCTGAAAAAATGGACAGAGCTACAAACATTTGTAAAGAAGACTCACTCAGAGAAAAAGCCAATTATTACATTCATTTGCTTGATGACAATGTCACGCCATACTACAGAACAGTGTTAAACAAAAGACAGAAACAGACAACCTCAGGCCAGTTTTTAGTTCTCAAAAGGTTGAGACCTAGTGAGCCATATTCCTGATACTCTTATGGAAGGAAGCTCTCTTTGCAACAGTAACTACCCTCCATTTCATCCTCCCTTCCTGCATGTCAAAGATGTTAACTAGAATGCTGAGTACAATATGAAACTGTTGTTTCTGGTAAACTAGGCACATGTTCTAACTTTGGTGAATATACTTAGAAAAATTATTGGTGTTTCTGGTAAATTACACACATTATGTAATCCATTTTTATTATGATAAGGTTAGTTAAGGGGTGCTTTGGGAAGTTCATAATGCATTATGGGTATTTTCATTATTTCTTATGGGAAAAACAGTCTGGACTTAGAACCAACTTGAGTTACAATCAGCCTTCGTGAAGAAATTGAATTTATAAGTCAAGGGCCCACTAATACATCTCAAAGATGGTAAATAATAGTACTTCCTAGTGATATGTCTTACTTTTAACAGGAAGCATACATAAGAATTAAGGTTCTTCAATGTTTATTTCTGGAAATTGTCTTTAAAAAATCCTCAGACATGAGAAAAAAGATGTATGTACAAAGATATTCAAGAAGTCATGTTTACCCCAGAGAAAACTTGTAAACATTGAACATAGTCAATAGGATATATAATATTTGTTACAATTCTCAAATTAGAATATTACATCACCATTAAAAATAGTGAGTTGGATATTTACTGACATGAAAAATGCCACAGTATATTGCTAAGTAAAGGAAGCAGGGCAGCCAAATAACATTTATACCCTATTGTTTTTATCCATAATTAATATTGTAATTATAAGTACATATGTTATACACAAAGTGCCTATTAATAAATTCAGAAAAGAGGACTAGAAAATACAAACAGTACTATTTTTTCAAGGTGATAGGATTACTACATTTTTTTCTTTTTTTCACTGAACATGTATTAATTTATAGAATTTTTTTTTTGGATAGGACATGTTTAAATACCTTAAATACCTGGAAACATGGCACTTTAAGTCACTGATATCAGATACTTTCTGATTAGGTCCACAAGATATAAAAACTATAATTGTTAGAAGAACTTATGGAGATAAAACACAGTTCCTACCTTTTGCAGAAAAAATAATGAAAACATAACAAGTGCGAGATCCAGCCGTGTAAGGGAGGCAGTAAATCTTCAGACACTATGCCTTTATGAGTCTCAATAAGGGAATACCTCTTCTCTCTGCAACAGAAATAAGATGGGTATCACATTTATTTAAAGACTAACTTTCAACTTTGATTTTATTTGACACTGGTAGTTGGTATTTAAATTCTAGTATCTTTAGCAAAGCACCAGAAAGAAGCTAGGTGTGATGGTACCTTCCTAAAATGTCAGCACTTGGAAAGCTGAAGCAGGAGGAACATTGTGAGTTTGAGGCAGTCGAGATTACATTGTGAGTTCAGGCTAGCCTGGACCAGTGACGAGACCCTGTCTCAAAAAAACAAAAACAAAAAACCCTAATGACAAAAATATCTAAAAAACAACAGAATAAGAGAGTGTTGTAGTTAGGGGTTTCAAGAAGAACAATTACATATGGGATACATAATATCATTTATAATGGTCACCAAGGAGTCAAATACACAGAAAGTACAGGAAATTTGTCCACAACACTAACGATCTATAAAATCCAGTTGAGGGCCTGGATCCCATGGCAATATCTGCATGAGTTCAGCTGAAAACCTACCGCCCATGACAATGACCCATGCAAATTCATCCCACGAATCTGCATGGGAAGGCTCAAAGGTCACCAGTGGAAGCTAGAAAGTCTATGCCAGTGTGGTAAAGGATCTGCGTCAGCAGGTCGAGGGTTCTATACTACAGTCAGTGGTGCTCAAAATAAGGACAAGAGGTGTCTTGCAAAGTACCACAGCCACCTGCAGCTCCTTCTCCAACGAGAACAGCAAAGTACATATCAGGAAGCCAGCATGACAAGCCTCTCCTGGAGAATAAACAGCACACATCTCCCTCTCCAGAGCCAGGAAGTGATGCTCAAAATAAGGACCAAAGCTCCCCTAAAATGAACCTCAGCCGTTCTCAGCAACAAGATCCCGAGCTCCTCTGATAACAAAAGCTGAGTTCATATCAGGGGAGCCAGCTGACAAGTTCCTCCAGGGGACCCAATGGCTCCAAACAACAACACCACTTAGGGGAAACCATAACACTACTCTTCCTTGCCAAGTCTCCTTTTTTATGCTGGCAACAGTCCTTAGGTTGGCCACTGAAACTCAGCACCATGCTGATTCAGGTCAGCTGGTGTTTAAGTTGACTACCAGTTACCAATCCACTACAGAGAGTATCTTCATCCTTTTCATGATGAACTACTATAGTAGTACTATACTTTTAATGTTTCTTAATTTATTTAGTAATTTAAAAATTGTCAATAAAATGAATATAATTTTTATGGATTTATTATTGGTGAGACTGTATGTTAGATCTTGTGGTGAATTATTTTAGTCCATTTACCATCTTTTTCTTTTTCTGTTTTTGGTTTTGTGAGGCAGGGTTTTGCTGCAGAGTTGAGGCTGGCCTTGCACTCAGTATGTTGCCCAGGCCAGCCCTGAACTTGGAATACTCTTGTCTCAGCATTACCATGACCGTGCACAGCCCTTAACACTTTTTTTTTTTTCAATTAATATTTAGTCAAAAGTATTTCTTGGGTGCCTATTATACCAGGCACTATACTTTCAACACTAATCATTTTAATACAATGTAACCACTAATATCTTAGTTTTAAGATTAAGCCTTCAGGATTTGATCACAAATAGACTCCTTAAGCAACTATTTTTTTAAAAATTTTATTTAAGGAGAAAAAGAAAAAAAAAACAGAAAAAGGGTACAAGTTATACAGAATTTCAGAAAAAATAAACAGTAGGAAATCACTAGTTAACAGATTACATATTGTCATCTTAGAAATAGTTGTTCAAGTTACAAAATTAAAGCATATAAAGTGGACATTCAAACAGTGAGATTGCAAACAGTTCTGTTCAACGATCCAACAAAACTCAGTAATATGGTTATCTATCTTATACACTTAAATATACATGCAGTTATATCCTTTAGAGCACTTTCCTCTTTTTTTTACAATGACAATTACACATTTTGGGTTTTATTAATCCCACAATTCTTATTATTTTTTTAAGAGAATAAAACCAAATGTGACATAACAAAACAGAGTCAGTCAAATCAAAAGGATGGACATAATACACAATGTAAAAACAGAATACAAGGTGATCAATAATGGTTACCATAATGCCTCTTGCTAGCTTAAAAAGAATTGCCTATATCATTAGTTATAATAAAATTGAACAAAACAGTAAAGAACAAAACCAATAAAACCAAAACACTGGAGACATTACAGGACTTCAAAAGAAGATAATAGTCAAACTAGAATGGGCATCATAGTCAATCTTATTATCTTCACAATTGTTGCCTATACTCTCAAACTTGGTACTATCAAGCAAAACAGAATAGAGGAAAATCAGTCAAAACAAGATGGTGAGAGCAATACAGGGTTTCAAATCAAGTTAATAGGACATCAAAGTGGGTTACTATAATGTATCCTGCTATTTTTTATTTTTCCCTTAATTAAAAAGATAAAAATAAAAAAGTAAATAATAAAAAAGGAGATTGAGATAAAAGAGGGCATAACAACAAAACAACACAGATCAGAACATAACCATTTAAGCAAAATAGTGTTTCACCACAAGATATCCCGACATAAAAGTAATCATAGTGCCTTTTTCCTTGAAATCTTTGAGTATAACTTCATATACTGTAGTATCAAACATATCAAGACAATGTAAAACCATTCAAGAGAATGACAGTATTACAGGGTATTTAGAACCAACTAACAGAAAATGAACAATGGTTTCTGTATAATCTCCTTGTCTATAAAAGTTTTTGTTTATATTATCACATATAATAAAATCCAGTAAGATACAACCTGTTAAGATCGATGGAGACAGAAGAACAAAAGCTTGATGGGACTTCAAAACAAGATGATATTAAATCAGCACTAGCTATTATGTCTTGTTTTCTCCACAATAGGTGTTCCTACCATCCAACCTTCTCTGCCTCATTTCTGTTGAGCTTTTTTTTTATCTCATTAGTTGTCAGTTTGTCTTCTTCATTTTGCTTTCTGCTCCATTCACTGTGGCCTCTCTGCCACTGTTTCTGGAATCTTGGTATGGTCCTTTTTCAGAATATCCTGCAGTATTCTCTGTAGAGTTGAATTGGTGGTTGCAAATTCCCCTAGTTCCTCTTTATCCTGGAAGCACCTTGTTTCTCCATTAATTTCTAGGGATAGTTGTGTAGGATATATTAATTTTGGCTGGAGGTTATCTTTCAAAGCTTGAATTATTACCCCCCATGCTCTTCGTGATTTGATGGTTTGTGCCGAGAAGTCTGCTGTAATTCTGATGGGTGTTCCTTTGTAAGTGATCTGTTTCTTGTCTCTGACGGCTTTTAATATTCTGTTCTTACATTGGATTTCTGGAATTTTGATTATTATATGCCTGGGTGTAGTTCTGTTTGGGTTGTAGGTGGCTGGGGTCCTGTATGCCTCATACATCTGAGTATCTTTACCTTTGCTAAATTAGGGAAATTCTCCTGGATTATTTCTGTGAATTGCCTTTATAGTTCATTTGTTTGTGTCCCTATTTCTTTCTTTACGTTCTTAATTCTTAAGTTATAGAACCTCATCATCTTCTAGCCTTTGTATTATTGCTGTTTCCTTGTTATTTTTAAGAAGTTTTTCATTTCATGCTCCCACATTAAAATCTGTCCTCCAGTTCAGATAATCTATCCTTAGTTTCTTCCAAGCTGTTATGCCAGCTTTCAATAGAGTTTTTAATTTCCTGGTAATCTGTTTGAACCTGCTTCACGTATTCTATATTTTCTCTATTTTCTTCATCAAACAATTCTCCCCTTTTTTTTTCCTCTTCCATTCCACCATCTGTTTTTTCTTGGGTGGTGCTTAGCATTTCTCTAAGTATTCTACTTATATCTGGCTTTACTTTGTTAAATACTTCACTTTTGAACTTATTTATGAAGCTCTGGAGATATTGCTTTATGTCTATTGGTGCAGTGCCTGATATTGCATGTTTTCTCTCCTTATTCTCCTTCACATTTACCTTTCCTGGATCAGTGTTCTCAGGATTGGGGACCGAGGACCCTTTTTTGTTGCCTCCTCTTCTCATATTTTTTGTTCCTTCCATACAGGTGTACAAAGGAAGCCCAGTTTTTTTCTTTGCGGGTTACAGTTTGTTTGAATCGCACTGGCTAGGTGTTCCTGCCCACTGCAGTGTACTAGGGAGACACAGACTGGGGCAGCATATGTTGGACCCACCCCTCCAGGTCAGCCAATCTGCAGAAGGCTTCACTGCTCGGGTTCACCGCCAGGTGCAGGGACCTGGGTTGGGCTAGCCTACTGGGTCTTAGTCCGCGGCTTCACCCAGATCAGGCGCTCCCCACCAATCCTGCTTGAGAGGGGAATATGAGACTCAAGTCACTGTAGCATCCTTTTCTGGCTAGTCTGCTCGGTCCCAGAATGTCCTCTGTTGGAGCCTCCTTATCTATGGAGGGGTCCCTGTTCCTCTCACTCATGGCAGGTTGATACAGGGCTCCCCACCAGTCCCGCTCTCAACTTTGTTCACCAATTCCCGCTCTCAGAGCTGTGTCTCTATCCCTGCTGTGGCGATTGAGACACAGCAGCGGCGGCAGGAAATTCAAATCATGGTTTCCAGAGGCGCGGGTTCCAGCTTCGGTGCTGAGATTTTATCTGTTTCGGTCATAGCATCGGGAATGCATTTCCAGTTGGTTTCTCTCAGCTTAGTTCATTCCTGGGCTGGCAGGTTGTATCTCCCCTTGCTTAGGACTCCTCACACCACACCATTCCTGGATTGTAAGCTGGCTATCTTAGAGAGCCTCCATAGCTGCTATTATCTATCTGCCATGTTCTCCCAGAAGTCTACAGCACAATATCTCCTAAGCAACTATTACAACCCATTCAAAAACAGTTTGCCTGGTACCAAGTATGATTGTTACTATCACCAACAAAGAAAAAATTTCCAAATGTATTCAGTTATGTTATGGTTTAAATCTAGACGTCTCCCAGGAGCCCGGTACAATCATAGGCCAGGCTATGGAAGAGGATGGAACCATGGGAGCACCATAGTTG